GCATTCCGTCAAAATAGGAGATCACAAATGTACATTGTTACCTGGCAACAAGGATGGTGGGAACATATCTTGTTCCTCACATCCTCTTGGTGACCAGAAGTGTGTCAGTCCTAGTCCTTAACCATCCAATGACAGGTTGCATTACTCTTACCCCCAGTTATTGACTCATGGAGATTCTGCTGTTCCTGAGGGTGGGACTCTGCCCTTACAGATTGCAGTCCTGGTGGACTACTACCATTTTTGGAGGCACGCATGCTTCACGCATCAGAAAAGCCTATCACCGGCCACCTATATGGGCAAGAAAAACCACCTGCCCTGCCTCCAGCTATACTATGGACCTGAAATAGTTTTTTTCTGGGGAAAAAATTCCCTAACCTCAGCAAACATTTGAGCCTGCATGTGTTAGTCTGGGTACATTAGAGAAATAAATCCACAGAAACTTGTATGTATAAGAGAGAGTTTTATATAAAGGGTAAGTGCACATCAAGAAAACATCCCAACCCAGTGCTTCCCAAGCCCACAAGTCCAACATTAGCCCATATGTCCAACACCAGTCCACAAAGTCCTCTTCCATCTCACAAAACACACACTATGACACCGACTGCAGAAGGAAAGCCAAATCAGTGAACTTGTAAGCATCTCAGTGCGGGCAGGGGTCTCCACACGGCTGCTCCAGCATCCAGGGCTGCATCAGGGTAAGTCCATGTGGCTTCTCCTCAGGGATGTCTCACAGAAAGTGAGCCTCACCAACTGAAGCAGGGAACTGGCTAAGGCAGCTGCACCCTGGTCCCACCATCACAAAGCAAGAGACCAGAGAACTAAAAAGGCATGGCTCACCTAGCCATTTTATCTCTCCGCCCTTCAATTAACCTCACTTGTTTTTATCAGTCAGATTGGCATAATAAACTTTAACTAACTTAATCTGCCCCTTGCCAACTTGGCACGTGTACATAATTCTTTAGCCTCACAAATGCAATTAAGTAACACCTACACCTAATCTTATAATCCTATGAATATGTTCCCCCACCTATCAAAGTTTGTAAGCCAATCACTTCATGCCTTTATCTTCCCAATTTTGGGTATCCAATTTATATACTGCCCACTTACATCAACCCAGTGCTCTGAAGAAACAATCATATTTTTCGACATGAAGAAATCTTCATTCCAGTTGGAACCTTGTGAAGTCTGCATCCATAAGCAAAGTTAAATCCGGACAGGCCATTCGGAAATTCAGCAACAATATGGACCAGTTCACAGGCTCAAAATTCTCTTCATATGGTCGGGTTCTGGTCATCTCAATGTGGGCTGCCTCACTCAGCCTCCACAGGGTGCCCATTGGTTGCCTTGCCTTTAGACCATGGGCTCTCACCAATACTCAACAAGTCTAGCCCCATTGTGCTAAGTTATTAACTTTAGACCAGTCAAACCACTATCATCTTCTTCTCTTTTCCCTGTAAACCAAGTCCACAGGTGTCAGTGGCCAAACTCAATCCGTCTTTTTATTGCTGAATTTCTCCCACTTCTACTCAACAAGTAAATCCAGGTGGTCACCTAGTAAGTATCTCAGTCTGCCCACAGGTTCCCTTTAATGTTCAGTCCCAGAGAGGAGTTTGCTTCATGCTTCCAGATTTTTTTCCAGCTCTGACAAAGATCATTGGTTCCTGAGTTCCATAACATTAGACAACAGCAAGGCCAACAAGAACTCTATCTAAATGGATTGCTGTAAGAGATATAAGAGCCCCAATAAAATTATTTATTAATCATGTTATATTAAATATATTTAATAAGTCATTATGTGCAATAAATTATATATTAAATATATTTAATCAATCATTTTATTGGGGACCCTTACAGTACATATATATAGATATAGTAAGATATAGATAGATAGATATACACACCACACAAAGGTTTTTAATTTATTTTAAAAATAATAAGACGAACTATCTAAAACCAGGCTTCCTACTCCCTCTTCCCTTATCCTGAACTTTATGACCTTCTTGGCTGGTAGTGGGCACTGGCCCATATCCCAAGTACCCAACCGTCATAATTTAACCCCAATGTGATAGTATCCCTGCCCTAGTTGACTCCTTTTTTGCTTTTGTTTTGGGTTGTTTTTTTTTTTTGCTTTGTTTTATAATTTTCTCTTTGCTTTTTTCTATTTTTTTCTTATGTCTTGCCTGTCTTCTTTTTCCTTTCTTTCCTTTTCATTAAAGTTTTTGATATTGTTGCTGTTTATTACTTTCAATATTTTCTACCTCCCTAGTTTTGCCTACTAATTTATTTGCTTTCTTTGTTTTTCTTTTTTTTTTTTTTTTCATTTTCTTTCTGGTGAATATTCTTTTTTCTTGATATTGTGTTCTTGTTTTCTTCCGATTGTATGTGTGTGTGTGTTCTGTTAGTTTTGCTGCCTTCTCCCACCCAATGAGAGACAGCAATGTTGTTGAGCATCCCAAGTAAAAAATATATATAAAATCATCCTGAGATGATGCATGAAAAGGCAGAAGAGTTTTGCCACAGATTATACAGCCCAACAATGAAATTTTGTTCTTTCTGTCTTAGTTTTTAGTCCTGTTCCTGGGATTATTTGGAGCACTGATTCCAAATATTGTATTGTATAGACCATATCAGTTCTGATTTCTTAGATATGATGTTCCACTATATTTTCATCTATTAAGTTATACTAATTTCTTAACTCACCATCCTAGTTTTAACATGAGAAAATGTCAGACCAAAAATGACAGCATAAGACAAAAAGGGTAAGAACTATTTAAAGAAAGCATTAGGTATTAAGGAGCTTCCAAGGAAAGCTGTGTATGGACCCATGAGGGCCAGTGTTGAAGCACCGATCTGCCCATCCTAAGGTCAGTGGTTAGACACCACTAGTCATTTTGCAGCTTTTAAAAGATTTATCAGTTTGGAAACCCAATGGGACGTTTCTTTGGTGTCTTAGAAGGTCACTATGAATTAGAATCTATTAGATGGCAGCAAGGTTTTCTTTTTGGTCTGGGAGGCTGTGAAATATATACAAGCCTACAAGGTGGACCCTGCAAATCCAGAGCACAGCTTGAGAAGAGTGGAAATGAAAAGAGAAATTGAAAAGGCATATATATATGGAAGATGTGAGAGCAATTTAGAGTGCTGAAATGTAAGATTTTATACTGAAATCCATAAATATTTTGAAGATCAAAATTTCTCTTCTTCAAATTATTTAGTAAACATTCTAGAATACATTTTAATATATAAAGAGTCCCAAAACCACATTCACTACCATCTATTCGACTCTGACTCATAGCAACCCTAAGAACAAGATAGAACGGTCCCTGTGAGTTTCTGAGACTGTAAGTCTTTACAGGAGTAGAAAGTACCCATCTTTCTCTCATAGCATATGAGTCAATGAATAATTCGTGTTATATGTTGCAGAGATGAGGTTGATTCCAAGCCTCTTTATAAGAAAAATTCTAATTTCTAAAAGTTTCTGTGCACATCTTATAACAAGAGTGGAGCATTTCATTTCATTTTGATTTTGATTTTAACAAAGGACTCATTGGGGGTTGCGAAACATTTTAATCTCATTTATTGCACCAAACTCAATACCATGGTGACCCTATTCGACAGAGTGAAACTTCTGTGAGCTTCTGAGGCTACAAATCTTTATGAGACCAAAAATGTTCATCTTTCTCTTGCCAAGAAGCTGGTAGACTAGAATATCTTACCTTGTCATTAGCAGTCAAACACATAACCCACTACACCATTAGGGCTCCTTATTTATAATACAGTAAGTAACTTATTTCTGTCCCCCTTTTAAAATAACAAATTGGAATTGCCTGCTATTCAGTTCTTTTAAAATTCCTCTATCCCAAGCAATAATACATTAAAATATTATGATTTTATGGGAAAGCACAGTATATGTTCTGTATCTCAAAAACTATAGTTGATATGGGGAAAGGAAAAAAAAAAACACCTGTCATTTCTGGAACCAGCAGGTCAAATATACCCAGAAACAAATCTAACATATGAGGCACCAAAATAAGTGTTGGTCGGTGTTATCAGCTTTTGGGCCCCCACATCCCTTAATCCAATCCAGTTCCCTGTTGTGATACTCATTGATTAATCTGGGTCTTGGGCAGTGCTTTTTATAATGTAGTTCATTCTTCAGTTCTGTCTCATGCATTGGAGGGTATAGTTGAGAAAAGGAATAATAATCGTGGCCTCATCTATAGGCATATGTATATGAACAAAGGTGCAGTGGTAGTTCAAACCCACCATTCACTCAACAAGAGAGAAATACAGCAATCCAAGCCCATCTCCATCAGAATTCAGACTCAGGGTCAATGGATCTCATGAATTTGGCATGAAAAAACTCTCCAAAAATGGTTTACGTAAACAAATTTGAAAAATATTCAATAACAATGGAGGAAGATATCTAAGAAAAAGCAAAGTTAGGAAAGAGCGAGGAGAAAGGAGCACATCATACCCCTCTGAAATGACGGTCAACTCTCAAAACCGATGCTTGTTTGAACTCAGATTGCTCTACTTGAAGAATCTGAACAGAAACAAGATCATTATGCCCTCAAATCATAAAGAAAAAGTTGATAGCTAGCTCAGAGTATTCCTGAAGAATTTGATTGAGATATGAATAGCATTGTTGGCTAACATTGGGATAAAAGATGACAAGTGAATAATTAGCATCTTGATTATTTCTAAAAGCAGATTATGAGGAACAAAATGGATAATATAAAAGAATAATGAACTGATAATCTTGAGAGAAAAGTTAAAGAACCAGCTACAAAAAAGGACGATAATTAGTAGAGATTTTTTCAACCTCATCTGATTCACCACTTCAAATTAACATTTTATTTATCTAAATCATTCTTCATAGGAAGAAAAAAATCAATGAACTATAATCAAATTTATTATTTATACATTAGAACAGTATGAATGTGAGATACAGGAAGTTAAGATCAATGGTAATCAGCATAAACAACTTAAAATATTATTTATGAGATCTTTCTAAAAATCACTAGTGTTCTGAAAACTCTCTTCATTGCAGTCTTCATTTCTTTGTTCCTCAGTGTGTAGATGACAGGATTCAGGAAAGGGGTGAGAACTGCATCAGAGAGAGCCAAAAATTTGTCTATTTGGGCATTGGGATGTGGCCATGTATAGACGAACATGGTGGGACCAAAGAAAAAGAAAACCACAGTGATGTGAGCTGACAGGGTGGAGAGGGCCTTGGATGAACCACCTGAGGAATGATTCCAAACAGTAAGCAGGATATAGATGTAAGAGACAATAAGTATCAAAAAAGATACAACACAGAGGAACCCACTGTTGACAGTGACCATGAACTGCAACTTGTAGGTATCTCGGCAGGCCAGTCGCAGGAGCTTGGGTAGGTCACAATAAAAGCTGTCCAAAACATTAGGGCCACAGAAGGGTAGATCAATGATAAATGCCAATTGGAACAGTGAGTGGATTATACCAAGGGCCCAGGCAGAAGCCAGGAAAAAAATGCACAGCTGTGGGCTCATGATGGTCAGGTAATGAAGAGGCTTACAGATGGCCACATATCTGTCAAAGGCCATGGCAATAAGCAGCACCATTTCCACACCACCTATGACATGGATGAAAAAGATCTGAGTGATGCAGCCTCCAAAGGAGATGACTTTTCGTGTTCTGAAAAGGTCATAAATCATCTTGGGGGAAATAGTGTAACAGGCCCCCAGGTCAATGAAGGAAAGACCAGCCAGCAGGAAGTACATGGGGGAATGTAAGTGAGGATCACTGGACACAGAAATCACAATGAGCATGTTTCCAGCCATGCTTGCCACAAAGAGCACAGAGGAGAACACAAGGAGGAGGAGCTGGATCTCCCACGAATTGGTGAGTCCCAGAAACACAAACTCAGACACCACAGAGTGATTCCATCCATCCATTGACCCAGATAACAGGGCTGCCACTGAGAACCAAGAAAATAAGGAGGAATTTTTGTTATAGGGAACGAGAGTGACCTGAATCATCTATATTACAATGTGAACATTGTGAACGGGAATTTTCTGGTCATGAAATTCTTCACATTTGCTCAATAATGATGATGCGGACAATGATAATAGTACCAATTATCATGTAAGCACAACTCAAGAGTACACATGATGATTATAACTACCAGAAAACTTCTAATCATCTCAAATAAGTATCTCGAATAGTTAATAAAGAAAGAACAAAAGCATCACAAGAATCTGCAGCAAGAAATACACTATAAATACATCCTTATTTACATATAGAATAGCTAATATTCTCACTGCCATTGAGTCTAAGCCATCTACTAGTGACCTTATTATTATATGACATAGTAGAAATGTCCCTGTGGTTTTCTGATACTGTAACTGTTTATGGGAGTAAAGAGGCAAATATGTGCAAAACACATATAAGCTATACATCACTTGCATAAAACACTGTTCATGAGAATAAATTTATGTCACTACCCCCAAGGGAAACTGGTGACACTTCAAATCACTTCTGGCCTTACATTTCCCTTTCAAACATTATCCTTTTTTGTATGCTCATGAAAGCCCAGGTAGAATAGTGGTTATGAGTTGAGCTGCTAACCATAAGGTCAACAGTTCAATACTACCAGCGGCTCCAAAGGATAAAGGTGGGCCTTTCTACCTCCATAAAAAGTTACAGACTTGGAAATTCACGGGGGCAGCTCTACCTTGTCCTATAGGGTTGCTATGAGTCAGCATCAACTGGATGGCAGTGCATTTGGGGTTTTGTTGTTGTTATTGTTCTATGCTTACACACAATCGATAGCTGTTAAGTTTTAAATAAATATGTTCATGTGTTCATATAGAGGCTGTAGAGATGGCTCACTTTCTTTATATCCATATACCCACCATAATAAGTTCCCAGTAGGATGTGAATCCTGAAAACAGCTCCTGACAGTTTACTCCCTTACAAGTTTCTGGGATGCAGGAGAAAAAGTTTGCTGGCACCCATATTTTTTTGTACACACAACTCCAGAAATTTGAAGGATCCTCTTCTCACAAAAAGGCCTGACTCCATTCTTCATACTCCTTTGCCCCAAAACTCCTAGAAGTTTTCATTGTGTCCCGACCCTATTCTAAATTACTATTATTGAGTCTTTTTCTCTCTGCCCTTAACTAAACATAATGATTTGGCTGTTAGCTCCTAAATCCACACTCTATGACTTTCAGGTACATACTTTCTATAGTCTCTAGGTCCTTAGTTCTCATGAATCCGTGAGCCTGGATACAATACAGGAAAACATCATTGCCCGTTATGCAAGGGACAGATGGAATGGAAAACCAAATCCACTGCCACTGAGTCTATTCCAACTCTTAACAACCCTATCTAAAGTTTCTGAGACTGTCAATCTTCACATGAGTGGAGATCCTCATCATTCTTTCATGGAGTGGGTGGTGAGTTTGAACTGCCAACCCAACCTTGTGTGAAATGCCTAACCCACAGTGCCACTGGGGCGCCTTCAGAAAACAATGAATGAGATAAAAATGCAAGGATAGATAACTGAGGCACAAGTAGGAGGGCCAGGAAATAGCAAAATCAGCTACTTACAGGGGGAAAAAATATCCTAACTTTTGAGTGGGAAATCATTATTATCTGGTGGATTTATACAGCGGCTTAGATCAAAGAGATGATCTAATGCAAGCCATTAATCAGATGAAAATTCTGAGGCTGAAAAATGAAAGCTGAGTTGCTAATATTCATACTATTAGAACTGGGGACCAGAACCCAGATCTCTGGGATCCTGATCCAGAAATTGCAGATCCGGTTGAAAACAGCCTATAAAAGAAAAGCAAACAGTCAAAATTAAAGATATGATTTTCTAGGATAAAAATAACATAAATCAAAATGATGTACATAAATTCCCTCCTATTTGAACTTAATTATCTGGCTTTCCAAAAATAAATACAACATAAAATATTGACCAATTAAGTGTTAAAATTAAACTGTATATATATCACTGCTGCCATATGCTCTGTGCTCACTCTATTTATTTTGATGCTCATTGGGCACAACAACAAATTCTTGAAGGAATATTTATCAGAGCATGATTTCTGCCTCTCTAAAATTTAATTTCCTTTAAATTCTCAATTATTTAATTGTTTAAATTATTAAATGCTTTTTTTGACATTTCTAGTTCATACTAGTCACAAATTTAAGAAAACAGCTGAAATGCAGAAATTGCACACATAATAGCAATAATATAAGGCAACGTACAATATATGTCCTATGAACATTAAGAATATCATTTGTTGAGTGTATAAGAAAAGCAAAATAAAGTTCTATGTGTTGTCTAGTCATTGTTTTTGAGTTTTCATTTGCTTGTTTAGCTTTTTTCTATTTTGTATGATTTCTATATATGAAGCTCAGGATGGGTGGATATATAGACACAGTAAGTTGACTGGGGGCACGGCAGGGGAGGATGAGGAGAAATGGGGAGTAACTGTGATGAGCGCAGGAAGAAAAGGTTCTGATTGTGATGCATGCACAGATCTCCTAAATATCATTGAGCGATTTCATTGTTTTTTTTAAAAAGGAAGAAGCAGTTCAAATAAAGAAGCCAGTGTGACTAAAAAGGAGATGACATGTAACCTATTCCTTTAAACAAGAATGGAAGTTGCAGAGAAAGTAGAAAATGCTTTGATTTGCAATCTTTAGGAACTTTTCTTAAGCTTAACCCTTTAAAATGTCATTGAACATCACCCAAGAGTCATAACTAGACATTAAAAATTATATTTTCTTGAACACAAGGTTACCTAACAATATCTTATTCTACAATCTGTTCCAATGGGTTCCTTTTACAAAGAACATTTCTGTAATCATAATAGGCTCTTTTCAGAAGGCGCCTAACCATCTATAATATTTACCTTTTATGGTTATATAGAAAACATATTTCGAGTCTTCTTCTGGGTGGACTTGAAAATAAATTTCTATATATGAATATGTTGCTGGGTGTAGCCAAGTCAATTTCATGTCCTAGTGACCCTATAGAACAGAAATTTCCCCACAGTGTTTCTTAGACTATACTCTTTGTGGAAACAGATCACCAGGCCTTTTCTCCACAACCACTGCTGGCTTCCTAATGCCTAGCATTCATTTAGCAGCCGAACATTTACCCATCATGCAACCTGGACTCCTTTGAAAACATCTAAGAATAGGTGATAGGAACGAAACAACCAACTGCAAACGTACAGCCTTCTCTCAACTATTTCAAGGAGCTTTGGCAAGAATTCGAGAAGGAGAAAAGAAGAGCAAAAAGAAAATAGATATATGAAAAAAATTGGAAGGAAAGAAAAATATGAGACATGCACAATGTAAAATTGTAAATAATAACATGCTATAATTAGTACGATGATTTAAAGATAGCAAAGATTCATACCTTTGAAGACTGGCCTGTCTGTTTCTGAAAAGTCACAGCATTAAAAACCCTGTGGAACAGCTCTGCTCTGCACACCAGGGTCATGAGATTTGAAATCAACTCAAGAACAACTTGCACCATAATTTGAGGGACCTGGTGGCATAATGGGTTGTGGGATGGGCTGCTGACCAAAAGCTTAGCAGTTTGAATCCATCCGACACTCTGCAAAAGAAAAATGAAGCTTTCTACTCCTGTAAAGAGAGGCAGTCTCTGAAACCCTTGGGGGCGGTTCTACCCTGGCCTTCAGGGTACCTATGCGTCAGAAATGACTTGATGGCAGAGTTTAGAGTTTTTGAGTATGAAACATATGGTAGAAATCCTTGGGTGGTGCAAAAAGTTCAAATGCTCAACTCAGTGCAATTACATGTATCTTCACAGAAAGCCTGGTCATCTACTTCGAAAAATCCAGCCACTGAAAACCCTATGAAACAGAGTTCGACTCTGACATGCATGTGGCTGTCATGGGTCTGAGTCTACTTGAGGGTAACTAATTAGCATATCTGAAACCGGGAAATGATATAAATTGGGGGAGGGGGGAGAACACAGACACATGGGATCTTCTTCAGAGTATGATTTTTTATGTTCTATCTGACTTTCAAAAATTATGTCTTTTTCGGTGTGTATTTATCAAGTCGCTATATGCTAAGATTCAAAAATCCATAAACCACTTGAAACCTTCATACTCTCTCTTCATGAAAAATCCTACAAATAAAACTTTCACTGATTTCCTTCTGTGTGTTACTAGTAGAGCTATAATATTAGAGCTATAATTAGCTTGGTTATGAGTTCAACTAGACCAGTTTTTCTCTAATCTAGGCTCCGTATCTCATTTGCAATGTGATCATGGAAAATTGAATTTTTTCTGAACCTCAGTTTCATCGGTTGGAAAAGGAGAAGATAACACCTCCCCTGAAGAGGTTAGTGAGGAGCATAGTGGTGTAGTGGGGTTGCATTGGGCTGCAAACTGCAAGGTCAGCAGTTCAAGCCACCAGTTGCTCTGCAAGAGTAAAAGCAGGCTTGTTTCTCCCCGTAAAGAGTTATAGTCTCTGAAACTCACGGGCAATTCTACCCTGTCCTGTAGCGTCACTATGAGTTGGCTTTAACTCCATGGCAATGAGTTTGTTGTTTGTTTGTTTTAAGAATATGGTAAAATCTAGGTCATAAATGTAATTAACACAGTGGAATCTATTCACTTATTGAGGAATATCTATGTATTCATGCTGCATGTTTCAGATCTTAATTTTTTAAGAAAATATCAAATATTAAATTTATTACTCAGGATAAACAGGAGATAATAAACTGAACATTGTTTCAAAATAGGCTTGCATATCTAGGTTGGTGTCCTGTAGCATAAAAAGCTCTATTAAAGACAATTTTTCTCCTATGTGAAGGCACTGATGAGGCCCTGGTTTGTGACAGGTGCTTGCTCTGACAAACCAACCTGTGTCCATTTCCCCAGCCACCTTTTCCTACAGTCAAAGACACATCCGCACCGACTATTGGGAAGCCTTTCTTGACCATCTCATATGCCTCTGGTCACTTGAGTGTACAAAGGAA